CGCGCTGAGGGGCCAGCCGGCAGCGCGCGGGGCCGAAACTCGGAAGTGTCATGCTTAAAGAGAACAGATCGGCCTCGGCAATAAAAAAGGATGTTTTCATTAATTGTTGCTCATATTAAAGAGGAAGAGTCCCATCTGCTCTGTGTACTCCTCTGCCGTTTCCAATTTAGAAGTTACTCTTTAATCTCTTTCTCTCTCTCTCTTTTTAAAAAGAGTTTGCAATAAAAAGGCGGAATGCTACATGCAAAAATAAAACTACTCCTTTCAGCAAAAAAAAAACCCTATCCAAAATAATAAACAGCTTATTTTGTTTCCTACCCCGAGCAGATTCAGATGGAAAGAGACCACCTCTGCTGACCCCGGGCCGACACCGCATCGTAAATCAGGTGCTTGGACACCAGCTTTCATTAATGACTTGGAGCTGGCTAAACAACTTCAGCTAAAAAAGTAATTACAAAGTAATATTATCTCAGCGGCTTCTCGGCTCATCAGCATTTACCCGAGTGCCAAGCTCGGCCGAGAGTCACTCTTCCAAAAAGCAAAACAACCCCCAAAGGCCACGCGGGCTGGGAAAATCGCCCCGCGCTCCCGCACACGCGTGGCTCCCAGCGGGGCGGCCCCGCTGGCGGGGGTTATTTTCACGGGGAGCGTGGGGCTCATCGGGGACGAGGCGGGCCGGGGCTGTCGAGAGCTCGCGCGGGAGCTGCGGTGTCACCGCCACGAGCGGGCACGAGCGACGAAACGGGCAGGCAGCAAAGGGACCCAGCCCGTTGTCGCTTGTTCGTTTTACCGGCTCTGCCGGCGGCCCGGACGCACAGACGGTACGGGGCCGAATTAACTTGCAGGGCTGCGCGGGAGAAACGAAGTCAGCGAGAGGCACGGAAGAAAAAAAAATCCCCAAGACCTCGCAATCTTGTCTTTCGCTGCGGTTAAGCCAGCCCGTGGGATCGAAGCGGGACAGACTTTTTCTCCGTCCCTCGCCCGCCGCGCGGTCCCTCGGCGGCGCCGCCAACCCCGCAGCTGCTTCTCGCAGCTCTGTCTCCTCCTTAGCCCTCAGGCAGAGGTTCAGCCTGCAGCCCCCTTCTCTCCCTTCCCCTCTGCCTCTTCTCGAGCTCGTTCGAAACACTGACACTGTCTACGCTGCTTCTGGCCCGCCGCAGACTTTTGGTGACCTTCAAAACTCCGCTCGGAGCAGAACGATGTTTTGGCCGCATTTTCCGGTGTTGCCTGACCCAAAGCTTCAGGAATGTGATAAGAAAGCCGAGTTCTGAACCGAGCTGCCGATAGCGAGGGCTCTTTAATTAGGGCGTTATCAGAACGAGGCCTGATTAAAATGTGCTGAAAATAATTAAAAGTGGTCCATCTGCCGCAGAACTGTGCCCGCCGCTGGAATCCAGTTGTTGGAGGAGCCCATCTGGATGAAAGAGACGGGCGAAGGGGAAGAGGAAAATTGGGCAGAGGTTTCAAAGCCCGATTTCCCCCCACAGCCCTCCCCAGACTTGGCAGAAATGTCATCGCAAAGCCAAGGTGGTGTCTTTCCCACGCTCGGGGAAACTGGCTAAAAAAAAAAAACGCGCAAGTTCAACCTTGAGGAGAGCCAAAGCAAGAACATTTTATCCATCTCCAGAAAGAAAAAAAATAAAAAGGAGAGAGAGAAGAAGAGAGCAAAGCAAAGCAAGCAAGCAGCCTCTGCCGGGGCCCTGCTCTCCGCTACACACCTGCGTGGCTCTAAGGGAGCCCTGCGCGCAGAACCCCGGCCCGGCTCTCCCCTGGCTTTGGGAGCTCCGCACAGCTACGCTCCTGGCCACATCCTGGGCTCCGCACAGGCTGCGCGCCCCCCCGATCGGGCCCAGGCAGCCGGCGGC